GCACCAGCACCAGCTGGGAGGGCATTCCCGCCAGTCTAGGCCTGGAGCGTCTGGAGGCAAAGGCTCTGTGGAGGCCTGCTCCCAGCCTTCACAGACAAGCTTCCCCTGCCATTGCAAAGCCCAGAAGTTACTGGGAGACAGCAGAAAGGACTTAGCTATACACAACAAGCTTTTCTTTTACACAAACTAAGCTTTTTTTTTAATAGTGCATATCACCGAGTGTCTTTGCAGTATCTTCCTGAGAGTCACCTTTTGCCCCAAGAAGCTTATTTTAAGCTTCCCTATAACATCCTCACCTTCTTCATAAGCCTTTCCTTGCCCATCAGAAAGCATCAGAACCTGTAGGCTATGTTTCCTGGAAGGACAGCAGTAGGGACATTTTTGGGGTTTTTTCCCAGATTAAAGTTAGTCGAGGTAGTTATGTTTTCCTTCTAAGGAGGCTCCTCAACTGAATACAAATTGGCTTCCAGCCTGGCCAGAACTTCCATACCTGTTCTGTGTCCCTCGTAAACATTTTGCTGTCTAAACTGGCAAGTTAACGGCATTTGCAAATTGTACCTTTCTGGAGCTGCCCTCCCTGGCAGTCCTGGAGGCTGGCTCTGCTGGGTCCTCATCACAGGCAGAGGCGGGATTTTAATTGTCCGGCCCTTGCTGTCAGGGACCGCCAGGCTAGTTTTCATGCAGTTCCCTAAATCCCCTGTTGCCTTTCCAACCTGGAGGATACTGACGAATCACCAGAGTGAGCCAGTCTGTGCTGTGTCCATGAGCATGTTTTCTGGAGCTGCTCTGTGTTCGGCCTGTGAAGGTGACCTCCACGGGAACTGCTTCCATTCCAGAAATAGATGTGGCTGCCAATCCGAGACCCCCCAAAAGGCTGTTTTTCCTGGGGTGACATCAGCTACAAAAGCCTTGGTGGGTGCTGGCAGATGGCTGTGGCTCATGAGGAATTGGGTGTCCCTTAGATCCCCCTGGGGCGAAGCCAGGGTGGAGGCAGGCAGGCATTGCTTTGCTCTGCCCTCTGGGCCAGAAAGGTTCATGCTTTAAATCCCTCCCCTGTTCTCTGAAGTCAAGTGAGGCTTTCCTCGCAGATTGTGTGACCATGGGTGCTTTTCCTGTTCTTCCCTGAACATCCATATTTAGTTCCCAGCTTGCCCCGGGGGCAGTAGGCTTGGCTTCAGTTGCCCTTCTGTTCACTTGGAGTTGGTTTTTTGGGCCGCCTCTCCTCCAGACATCCTTTCGTTTTAGCCAGGGAAGCAGCGGCTTGCCTTCCTGGGTTTGTGGATGGGAGCGTTTCACCCGACTGGCTCTTTTCCTTCCGTGACATACTTGGTGTTGAGGTCCTGTTCCTTTCTTCTCTGCCAAGATGATAAAAACACTGCTGCAAACTCTGAGCCTGTCACCATGGAGTCATGTTGTAGGAGGACAGCAGTAGGAACATTTATGTTTTTCTTCCCAGATTAAAGTTGATTGGGGTGGTTATGTTTTGTGTAGAGTTTTTTGGAGGCATTGCCCTTTCTTAGAACATCATGTGATTTAGTGGTGCTAATTAGGCAGAAACTTGTCTTCTCTACAGATGCCAAGATTACAGAGGGACTTACTCTCTCCAGAGCCCAGATGACAGCATCCACAGGCAGTTGGAGAACGGGCCTCGTCCTTCGGTCTCCCCATTTCATTTTCTTTGCATCACAGCCTGATTTCAAACTTACTGGGCAAGGAAGGGCAAGGAGGGGACCTTCTCCCTATTAGTGAAAGTCGCTGATGGGACGGGACATTTCCATATTTACTGTCAGTTGGCCTGTTGCCTAGTAACTGTAAAGTGATAGCTGTAATTCTTTTCAGCTATGTGCTTCCTTTTCCTTCCAAGTTTTGCTTAATCTGATGTGTTTTTAAATTTAGCAGGGCATTAGCATATATACATAAACCTCACAGTTAACTAAAACATCTTACTTTGAACAATGTAAGAATGGTGAGAGCTTCATTGAAGTCTATGTGAGTTGTACCCAAGCTAAGTATCATGAAGGTCCCACCTCCGTAGCCGGTCTCACTCCATGTGCTCCCTCTGTTCTTGCAGTGCTTGGTGGGGTCAGGTAAACGTGCAAACACTGAGCCCCAAAGACTGGTTATAAATCTAAGGCAGGTGAGGGGCTGCTTTCCTTACGACTATTTTTAATCATAAGGTCTTCCTAATGAATGATGGTTCTGGTTTTCCTCTTAGAAGGATAAGTGTGTTCTGTTGATACTTACCTGGTTCCTTTATGTTTTCACGTTATTTTGCAGTCTGTTCGCCCTCTATCACAGAGAAAGCAAGTCTGTTCTTTCTGTTCTGTGGAGGAGTTTCTGTATAAACTTTGTTTGAGAGCTGCCTCTGGGCCTGGGCCTCTCTGGCTTCACCTCCAGGCACAGGTGGGTTCTGAGCCCTGAGGTGAGAGACGAGTCTGTGAGACTCTGGGGCAGTTCCAGGACTTACTGCCACAGGTGCCCCAAGTCCCTTGTGCAGAAGCGGAAAGTGATATTCAGTGCATCTCCTTTTTAACCATGACGCTTCCTGAAGATTCTGGGCCTTTTGAAGAGGGAATGGGCCTTTGGCCTGGGGACCATTGTTGGTTGTTGCTTTAGACTGCCCCGGGCAGGCCTCTTGTCCCTGGTTTCAGGGCTAACGCCCTGCTCTGCCTAGAATGATGGCATGTTGGGGGTTCTAGTGCCCTCCGCCTCCTTCCTTCCTACGCTGAGCCGGCCCCAGCATCAGAGCAAGCTGTGTGCTTGGCCTGTGTGCCTGTGGAAGAAGTGTGTCACCATCCTAGTTCCACAGCGGAATAATTAACACCGATGGGAACCGGGGGGTGGGGTCTGAATTAGGTAAGACTTCATCGCTTCTCCCTTGGCACTCTCAGTAAGTCAGGATCGAGAGTTGGGGACCAAAGTCCCCTGATGACTGATTGCATAGTGATGTTAGGCTGTGGTTTATTAAGTGTTATTGTGAAGGAAAAAACCAACTCCCTTTAAAGAACCCTCTCTGCATCCCTGTTCGCCCGTGCCTCAGGGGTCCAAGGTAGAGACGCTGGGACAGCACGGGCTTCCGAAGGCTCTGGTCCTCACAGATCCTGAGATCTGGTGTCTGGTTTAGCCTTTCTCCCTCTGAAATCAACAGGCCATTATTTTATGGTCCAGGGTGCATGGTTTCATACCCTTACAAAGCAAAGCATAGCTCCAAAAAAGCCGTTGGCCAGGGAAGCGAAATACTGGGGACAGGGGAAGAAGGGGCTTCTTTTCCTGCTTTTGTCTCTGCTGCCAACGAAACAACCTCAACTCTCGTATTTAGAGCTATAACCAACCAGAGGAGCCACGACCTCGGGTGTGTAACACGACCGACACCAAGCGCTGCTCTCTTCCTAACAGGGAGACCGCCACCCCGTGCGGGCCTCGGCAGCGAGGAGGTCGCAGGTAGACTTGTGAGCACTCCGTGTGCGCCTCCTGATGCTGTCTCCTCTGAAGAGGGGGAAGCAGATGTCCATGTGTGTGTGAGAGAGCTTATTGATGCATTTTTCATTACTTGTTCACCTTATCTGGCGAGCAGATCGGGAGTTCAAGTTGCTTCACCACCACTTTTGTATCCATTTCTTGGCCTGGAGCCATTTTTTCCTGCCCTGACAGCCGACACTGTCTCCGTAAACAAAAGGTCCTCTGTCTTGAGACCTGTCCTGTCGGTTCCTTTGGCTGCATCTCTGCAAATATACAGTTGACCCTTGAACAACACGGATCCAGCAATATGTGGATTTTTTCAATAAATATATTGGAAACATTTTTGGAGATTTGCTGCAATTTGAGAAAACTTACAGATAGCCTAGAAATATCAAAAAGAATTAAAAAGGTATGTCATGAATGCATAAAATACATGTATATATTTTCTCTTCCATATGATTTTCTTAATAACATTTTCTTTTCTCTAGCTGACTTTACTGTAAGAATACAGCACATGATACATATAACTTACAAGTTCTATGTTAATCTACTATTTATGTTATTGGCTTTTAGTAGGTAAATTTTGGGGGAGTCAAAAGTCAAATGTGAATTTTTGACTGAGCCAGGGCTTTGGTGCCCCTAAATTCCATATTGCTCAGGGGTCAACTGTACTTTTTAAAAATGTCCTCTAACTTTTCCATGCTGAGTGGTCACATGAAGTCTGATAAGACTTGTGCAAGTTAGATGCTCTGAGAGAACCTCTGTTGTGCCTTACCACTGAAAACCTTTACAGGCAAAATAATAATGTTGTTAATTGTTAAAGGGTTGTTTCACGAGAGGTGGTATTTTGGCATATGTGTGTGTTACGTAATTTTTTTCCTCTGCAGATTTTAAATATAAAACCGCAAATTTTTAAGACAGTCCACCTAGAGATTACTTACTTCTTTTTTAGTGGGGGAAATCAACATGACCCCCAGCCAGCAGTGTAGGCCTGTTAAGCCTTGTGGGGAATGGCCATTTCATCTCCCTTGGGGTAGTAGTGGAAGGGCGGTGAGCAGAGTCAGTCCACGTAGCCGGTGGGAGAGAACCAGAGAGCACAGCTGGTCTGCTTAGGGTGGCCACTTCACTGGTGTTAGCATACAAGCCGTGTGTCCCAGGAAATCCCTGGTCCAAAAATCTGGAGCAACATCCCACCCTGGGTGTCCCTAACTCGAAAGGGCCACTAAAACACCCCTGATTTTGCTTGTCTTTCTTTAATCTCCCAAAGTGAATGACCCCATTTCTTTTGAGCTTTTTTAACTTGACAGCATTTTGTAATCAAGCAGAGAAATAAGGTAAGTCGACTGCATGCTTCGTCCTCAGCCTTTGAGACCTTTGAAGCTGGTGAGGCCAAAGCAGCTTTACTGATGGTGCCCTTGGCTAGGTGGGTGGGGGGCGCGGGTAGGAGACGGGAGGCCGAGGAATGTGACTGTGAGGTGCCCACCCCCTCTTGCCACTTGAATGTCCTTAACCATCTCTGGTTTTCTTTTCTCCTCCTGCAGACCCTCAAACTGACACAAGACCTACGGAGAAAACCCTTTGCCAAATCTGCTCTCAACACACGGACAGTGACACCGTTTACAGCTTAACACCTTTGTGAACCCCATGCCATTTTCCTAACCCAGCAGAGACTGTTAATGGCCCCTTACCCCAGGTGAAGCACTTACCTTGGAACAGAACTCTCTATCTAAAGTATGCAAATCTTCCTTGTACGGGGGTGATGCGCCACCTGCCAGCCAAGGACAGCACCCCGCCAGCACCGCCCACCCTCGATCAGAGCACACCGTGAGCCCCGGTTGGCGACTGTGTGGTGTTTTCATACCGCAGTGGTTTATGGGATGTTTCAAGTGTTGTTTCGTGTTTGTTTTCCTTTGACTTTCTGAGTTTTTCACATGCATTAACTTGCGGTATTTTTCTGTTAAAATGTTAACCATTCTTCCCCTGGCAGATTTAAAAACAGAAGGAAACTGTACCAGTTACCATTTTGGCTTTGGGCATCACAGGGGTTTGAGCCATGGAACTCCATAAACTAACAATTACATAAACTAGAGGGGGTGTTCTTTCTTCTTCTGTTTGGTAGAAAACTATCCTTGTCTGAGAACTGAACAAGGGCACAACTGTTTGCTGCGCGCACCAGGCCAGGACTGAGCCCTGCACAGGCGGAACGAATGGAACCCAGCCCCCCACTCAGAGTGCTTCAGTGCTGAGTCGGGGGCCGGGGGCCAGGCCCCAGCGCCTGGTCTGCAGTGGCCCGGTCAGTGGGCTTGGTGTCCTCCTGCCAGTCCCCTCAGCTGATGCAGGGAGCAGGGATGCTGCAGTGGTTAGAAATGAGGATCTTTTCAGGAAAGAAATCAGCTCAGCTGTCCACTAATTGCCAAATGCCACTAAAGGATTTAGTTTTAAGGAGAAAAGAAAAGAAAAAGTCACATTTTGCTTTGCAGAAAAAATGAACTTGCAGGTGAGCACCAAGTCCACAGTGAGAAACCTGTGAGAAGTACAAGCCCCAGTCAACGTAACGGGAGTCCTGAGTTCACTGTTTTCCTAAAGACACACCCTGATTCTTCCAGCCTTGCTGTGTATAATCTGATCTACTAGACGTGTGTGAGTGAGAGGCAGTAGCATACAAACTGATTTTTTTATATATAATCTTAGATTGTAATTGTACCAGTGACATGATGGAGTACAAGATGGGGCAGTTTCGACTTTCCTCCCCACTTTCCTGCTTCTATGGATTTCATTTTGTTTCATTTTCAAAAAGTTACGGTGCTGTATAGGTGCTTTCTGTTTAACCTGGAACGTATGATTATACTGCTTACCTTCTTTGGTAGACTGAATAGTTGGGAACACCTTTGGTACGTATGAAACTGGTGTGACGACGCTCTGATTAGCACAGCATATGCATACTTCTCCAAAGTGATATACGAAGACTCTTTTCTTTCCGTAAAATGCATTAGGCATATAAGTGTATAAATATATTTTACCATGTACAGTACAAAAATGGAGCATTCTGCATGGACGTTAGGAACACAGGCTAGTATTTCAGCACAGACCCCCCTGCATGAGTTCTCGCTAGCGCTTGCACCGTGCAGTGGGCACCGACTCCCTTCCACCAACACAGACGTGCCGCCTGACCCCCTGCGCTCACCACCGGCCCCCAGAGGCCCCCTCCTGTACCTTGCTTTATAATCCCTCTGGGGGTAATACTGGTGGTGATAACAGCTCCTAGCATAATGAGAGTTCCATTCGGTATTGTCACACGCCTCTCCCGCCTCGCTTGGGTTGTCCTGTTTGAGTGATGGCCCTGTTGATTTCATCCTGCCTTCTACTGAATCTGTAAATTGTTGTGCAGTTGTGGTTAGAGTAGACCTGTAGCGTATTGCCTTTGTAAACTGCTACAAGTTTATAATTTTCATTTTAAAAGTATGTATAATTTTTTTAAATATACTATTCACGTGGTCAGCTTGTCAGTGAGACAGACTTTTGCTTACTATATTTCTTTATATGATGCTAGCCACTTCCTTGATTCTTTGGTAGTCTGCTGCGTACAAGAACTGTCTGGTATCGGCAAGAGAGGGCTGCCTCTCTGGGCGCCTAAGCACTGTTGCCCTGGGTGGAGTTGTAGTTCAGAAACCGCAGCAGCAGCCTGTGGAGATGGGAGGTATTGGATACAAAGGAGAATCCAGAGTGCTTCCAACACGAGGGCCCTGAGAATTTCTTTCCTGAGCTCAAAGAAACAAGCAAACTAACAAAATAGCTTTTTGCCTTTGCAGTTAGTTTTATAGACCCCGGGAGCTACTTTGGGAGTAAGAAAGGCAACCAACCCTCAGATGTTTTCAACTTTAAATGTTGCATTCCTTTCAGACATGTGACATCTGGTTTATTCTCCCCCTCCCCCTGCCGCAGTGTTTGTTAGATTGTCTTACAAAATGTTCCAGAGTCAGATTATAATTTAATCTAAAAGAGCTGAGGGAGGGACTGATGAAATATGAGAGCAGGGCAGCCGCAGAGCAGAAAAGTGGAGGGGAAGGGGTGCTTTGAATTTTTTAAAAAGGTTTTACTTATTTATTTTTAGAGAGGGGAAGAGAAGGAGAGAAACATCAATGTGTTGTTGCCTTTTGAGCACCCCACACACACACTTGGGACCTGGCCTGCAACCCAGGCATGTTCCCTGACTGGGAATTGAACCAGCAACCCTTTGGTTCACAGGCTGGCAGTCAATCCACTGAGCCACACCAGCCAGGTGATTTTTTTTTTTTTAATAACAGCATCTACACGTAGAGAGTTGTGGAGCACTGAGGTCAAGGTAAAGTCAGGTGCCAGCATCAGTCCCAGGAGGGGGTCAGAATGGAACAGTTGGGCTGGGCCAGGGTGCCTTAGTCCAGCCAGGTTCTACGGTGGTCGGACTGGACAGAGGTTTGTCCTGAGCCCTCTGTTGCTCATACTGAGATCTGTTTTCAGTAAGGACCAGCTGTTGGCCACCACATGGAGTTCTGAGTGTCATGGGTTCCTCATAGTAAGTTTTCTGATCGGAGCATCTCAGCAGAATGCTTAGTAGCTTCTGGGGCCTGGCTGCTCTCATGTTAGCATTCTGAAGAGAACTACCCGAGGCAGCCCTCGGCCTCAAAACAAGCCGCTTTAGGGAGCCTTCCACTTTCTGATGGGAAATTGGAAGACTGACTGATATGGGAAACATGACATGTCACAGGCTTCCGCTGTCCTGGTGCGGGCCCTGACTGCCGGGTTCCGTGTGCCCCATTAACTGTGAATGGTGCCGAGGCCGGTCTCCTCTGTAGCGCAGCCTCTGTAATATAATGATTGCTGAAACACATGTTTAAAAACTTCAGAAGTTTCTTTCCTGTCAACAGGAATGTCATGCATACACACGGACTGTACACACATAGTACAGGCGGACTCGGTGTGTTCGGTGTTGGGTCTCGGCCTCGCCTGTGTGTCCCTTGCCCTCCCCGGGGAGAGGTCCTCTGGGCTCGCTGCTCAGGACAGACATGCCCACTCTCAAGGTCATTTCAGAGGCCTCCAAACCTGTCAGACGGTAGGCACGGGCTTCACACTGCCCAGCGGACCCCCCCACTTAGAGAATAAGGAACCTTTGAATCTCTTACAACTGTCGAGAGGAAAGAAGCCAAGCAGCCCCTTCCGTGTAGAGCGCTGAGGCCACAGGCTGGTGAGGGGAATGCAAACGTTACCCTCCCTGAGTGCAGGAACGGCACCCTGACAGTGCTGAACTCCAAGTTCCTCCTTCTGGCTGTATTTGGGGAACATTGTATGATTAGGCATATTTTTTTTTAATTGACACAAGCAAATTTTTGGACAGAAATGCCATCACTGGCTAAGAAGCCAGCCTCTCCTGGCGATCGGGGTGGGCGGGGGGGCACTGGAGGAGAAAGGAAGTCCTCCTGAAGCCGTGTCTGTCAGATAGCACCGGAAAGCGATGCCCAAGAAATTAAAAAGAGTGTATTATTTTTTATCTAAATCTTTCATGGGTAACATTTTATGCAGTTGGAGTGAATGAAATATATTCCTCTTGTCTAATCTTATTTGTATGTATTTTTCTTTGACAAATGATTGGTGACAAGGCCTCTGCCACACTTCAGAAATATTTGCGTGGCTGCTTTTAAAAATTGTGTGTCTGGTCACTTATTTCTCTAAAATTATCTAATTGCCTGGCAATCAGTCTTCTCTCAGATACTTGTCCTAGCACATTATTTACATACATGGGAAATGTAAACAGGTGTGAAGGAGGACCAGAAAAATTAGTTCATCTTTTAAAAAATGTATTGTGCATTTTGGCTTTACACGTTGAACTTTTTTTAAGAACAAAAGTTGCATGAATGGGGGGGAAATCTGTATACAGTATCTGTAAAATGGTCTTATCTGTTTCAGTTTCTTGCTCATACCCCATACAACTAGAATTAAATATGGTGCATGGCCAACACCCAAGAGTCAAGCAGTCAGTACTCTGGTTCGAAGCGCCTCATCCTTCCTTTCAAAGCGGATACTATCATTGCATCCTTACTGAGGATTTTGTCTAACCATATGTTGCCATGAATTAACTCTACCGTCTTTCTTTTCAAGAATCAAAGCCAGTTTGATTTGGGAATCTTCCCCTTTCCAAATGAAATAGAGATGCAGTACTTAACTTTCCTTGGTGTTTGTAGATATTGCCTTGTGTATTCCATTTACAACAGTAACCTAGTTTGTAAAAGAGATGGTGACGCATGTAAATAAAGCATCAATGAACACTCTGTCTTACTCCAAGGAGTCTTTTGTTCCTCCTCCCCCTTTCCTTAACCCCAGAGGTGAAGCCTCGGAGTTCATCTCCTGGTCTTCCCAGGGAAGGGAGGCCCTCACGGGCCTGCTGGGAGAGGCACGAGGCTGGGCGGCTCTGTCACAACATCTGGAACTCAGCGAGGCTAACAAACTTTTTCTCTGGCTCCCTTTTGACTTCCACAGACCACCAATTTAATAAAAGCAGATTTGTGGTGTGGTTCACGGCAGCTGATGGCCACTGTTGGTGTGCACCGAGTCACGTGGCCTAGGGGAGCTGTTAAGTGGGGAGGCAAGTTATAGATTCTCTACCTTCAGAGTGTCGGAGGTTTTGAACTATGAAAGTCTTGGCCTTAACGAGAGTCCTCATGTGAGCCTGGCCAATGAACATCGGTCATGGGCAGTGCCCGCCTGCATGTTGAGAGTCAAACACAATACCTCAGGCATCTGGTGAGAACAGCACAAATATTCCCGCCGTGTACATGTAAGGGGCCTCTCAGTCAAGTTAGGGGGACTCCACCCTATTGTACAACTATTTCTAGTACCCTGGGTTGTGTTTTTTTTATTTTAATAAACATGTTATAAAAATGGTTCAGCTTTTAGAAACCCCCTAGGATTGGTTTCAAAATCCCAAGCCACATGATGGACTCTTACTTGAGATCAAGTAGGGGAAAAAAATACTGAAGTCTACTGTTGGGACAACATCTACATTGGCAGAGAGGCATGCCTTCATTAGGTGGTCCTTACCATTGTTTTAGTG